ACTTATAATGTAAGACATAAACCATGGATTACAAACTGCTATAGTGTCTTTTCACATTGCATTAATCCCAAACTAAATAACTACATTATAGCTCAATTCAATGTGTGAACTAACCATGCACTTTCTATCCTTTGGCAGGCATCTCCATCTGTATGAAAATAGCTTTAGGATAGCTGTTAAAGTGATCAGTCCTGGATTTTTTACCTCCCAGTCAAATTTCATTTTTCATGCCATTCTTATTCCTCTAACTCTCATGCATGAAACCGATGTTCAGTGTGCAATTGTTTAGTTTTTCCACTTTTTAGAAAATTCCCCGGTTTGATTTTACCTGGTTTTAAAAGTAGTGCATATGGCAGTACATGAGGACTGCAATTGGGTGAAAGAACTTTCATAACCTAAGCTAGAGAGAAAATAGATTTTTGAGAGGGAAACTATTGTTAGGAGGGCTGGGTGAAGTGGAGTAGATTGTCTGCAATATGTTTTTGGAGAATAATAAACCAATGGATCATAATCCAATAATAATGATTTTAAATTTATTACAGCCACCCACCTCAATGGGCAGGTTACAAATACAATACTGTACAATAAAACAGTTTCAGTTTTCTTGGCCACTTCAAGATGTATGGACTTCAACTCCGAGAATTCTGGGAGTTGAAGTCTATATAGCTTAAAGTTGAAAAACATTGGAACATACAACCTAACAGGCAACGCAGACAAAAATAATAAAACACCAGCAACCCAACCCAACATAACCCAACCCAACCCAACCCAAACCACGGGCCCTGCATACATATCACCTCAGGCCTGAGACCAACTTCAGGTCTTTTTGCTTTTTGGAAATCTAAGAGGGCTGTCTGTGAGGTGGGATATCCTAAGACAAATTTTCTCAACCTCAGCAACAAAGATATATGGGGATTTCAATTTCCCAGAATTCCCATGCTGGCTAGAGAATTCTGGAAATTGAAGTCCACACATTTTAACATTGTCAAGATTGAGAAACACTGCCCTAGAGTATCAAGCCATACTAAACCATACAAACACTCTGGAGTTTTTAGGAAGATTGCTAACAGAAATGAGAAAGTCAAATCTTTCTTCCACTAATCTTTCCTTCCTTAAGAGAAAATGGGTTTCAAATCTGTCTCTTTCACAATGTTTGTCAAATCTGCAGAAATTAGCCTTATTTTAATTGCTCCATTCCATTTTCTTAAGATTACTGCCCAGAACCTGTGGGGTTTCTGGAGATGGACTGGCTGTCCCTGATCAAGTATTTAGAGACATGTTGATCTGATCTGGAATGCAATTCTAGCAGAAAGTGACAAGAAATGATATAGTAAGAGCAGTGACTCATTCAGAGACAAATGAGCAAACTCCTGTAGCATATGGGCAGTTTTAGCCAACGGGAAGGCTATAATTATTTAATTGAATTACTTCATGGCATAACACAGTTACCCTTTCAAATCTTTGCTGGTAATGATTAATAGGGACCCAAGGAAATGGTACTTATTTTGATTCATCGTACAATCCATTTTATGTCTTTCCAGAAGTAATTCTCATTTAATTCAGTGGAACTTTCTTCCAGGAAAATTCATATAGGATTGTACTTTTAATTAAAAGGAGGGCCAGCTACCTGTTTGTCATAGAAATCTTATCCCTCACATTTGCAGCCTTATTTATTTATGCTCTTTTCCCCACCTCAGTCCAGAAAGAGGCTAAGTAATTTACAGATAATGAAAAACGTAATAAAACAACAGGAGGAAACACTAATAAATTATGGTAATAATAGCCATGGTTTATAATCCCATTAATGCATTAGCTTATACAGACCACCAGTAGCTCCATAACTCAATCCCAAAAGCCTCCAAAAGAATAGGTTTTTATTAGCTTCTGGAAGGCCATGAAAAATTAGATTATTCTCTCAGGAGGCAAGCTACTTTTATAGGGTTGCTCCTACACACACGCTCCTCTCCCACTGTACCTCCTGATAGGTGGGAATCTTTATGCTGCTGTTCCTTCATAAAAGAACTCTATGCTTTAAATCAGTGTTTTCCAAACTTGGCAACTTTCAGATGTGTGGACTTCAATTCCTAGACTTCCCCAGCCAGCATAGCTTTCTCAGAGAAGAGGAGACGTGTTGGGCACTGAAATCACATCATAGAAAGTTAAACTAGGAATTCACTGGATAACCCATAGCTGGCTGGGAAATTCTGGGAACTGAAGTCCACACATCTGAAAGTTGCCAAAATTGAAAAACACTTGTCTTAAATCATAAAAAGGCAGACTTTTCAGGACAAATTGAAAATTCCTGGATTTGCTCTCTGTAATGTCCATGGAGATTCTCAATCATCTAGATAGTTGTTGTCCCAAAGATGCTTTTTCAAGAGGCAAGTGGACTTTCCTCTTTTTCTTTGAATATGTTTCGCTTTTCATCCAAGAAGCTTCTTCTGCTCTGACCGGATGGTGGGGAATGGAAGGAATATAAATCCTTCCTCTCAGGGTCACCTGAGTAGTGCAAATAGGTGTGGAGCCAACTATGTTATGAAGCTGTGCTTTCTGCAGGATGTTTTCTGCCCTGTGTCCCTTCACTGTTGAAGACAGGCACAGTCTGTTTTGGATTGGTCTGTGTTGTCTGCATCTCAAATTGAAATGCAAATGGTTCCTGTAGTCTGCAATTTTTCTAAAACCCAGTCATACTGCTGCACTATTTGAAGGGTGTTCATCTCAAAGTGTGTAGTGAGATGCAGACAACACACTCATCTCTAACGGCCTGCGTCTATGTTCAACAGGGAAAGGACACAGGGCAGAAAACATCCTGCAGAAAGCACAGCTCCACAACACAATTCTTTCAGTCCTTTGTTTTCTTCAAAGAAAAACAAGAAAGTCCAGTTGCCTCTTGAAAAAGCACCATTGGGACGACACTGTCTATGAAATGGCCAACAAGCTGGCGGGAGGCAGTGCACAGCATTAGCAGCCCAGCTGCTGAGGAGGGGGCTTCCCCAGAGCAAATGGGCTGAGGGTTAAATCTGCAAGTCAGGGGTTCCCCATTCCTGCTTTACTGTTTGCAGACATTGAACAACTAAATCTTAAGGTGAGATGATGAACGAAATTGACTTGTTGAATGTTGATAGTGTCACCCAGTTTCTGAAGGTCTCTATCAGGAGAGATCAAGATAAGCACTTATACACGGAACAGTGTTTCTTTCTTTAAAAATTAGGAAGCTGCAAGAAAATGTAGAATTAAGGTACAGGGCAAGAATTCATAGCTGTTCAGAGCTCCGGCAAATCAGGTAAGTGGGGCATATTACATACAGGAGAAGAAGCTGGGGGAACTTGCTTTGTGGGTTTAAGACATTTTGTTTAAGAAATTTTGGTAGAATCCAAGATCCTGTCATCTTAATTCTTCCCAACATGTTTTAATATCTTGCTATTTCTAAACGTGAGTTCCACCTCCTTTGACAGCTCAGAAGTTGTCCCTCTGAAGGACATAACCATTTAAAAATGCACCACAAGGTATCATGTGAGGTTCTTTGTGTGTGATTTTTAAATGCTTGAAACCTCGTTCTTCTAGCCTGTGTTTTTTGTCCGCTTTCCTTGGTGGAATTGTTTCTGTCATAACCTATTTGGCTTGCTTATTCCTTCTGTGCATTTCTAAATATAAATCCAAGTGCTGAAATTTAAGATGAGAGAAGCAAGTAAATACTGCATATTGATAAGTCCATAGAGACAAAGATAGGGAGATGAATTTCTCCTTGTGAGTTGACATAAGTTTTGCCAATTTATCATTCACCAGTCTGCCTCTCTAGGTATTGATTCACTAGCAAAATATTAAAAGAACCGACTTCTAGTTGCCAAAGATGGTGACAGGGAGGTGAATTTGACTAGCTGATTTCTTATGTAGCTCAGAATGCTGGGATCTTTGCAGTTCATAGCAACATAGATGTCAGGCGTGAAGAATCAGGACCATTCATTAAGTTCCAATTTATTGCTCGCCTCTATACACAACAATCTATTCAACTGATAGTACTAAATTAGCACTAGATAAGGTAATGGAATTCAAGTGGGGCTGGACTTGGACCACTTGTGGAAATCTAACTCTAGGCTGATTCCTCTCTTGACCCGGCTCCCATGCTCTGCCTCTCCTCCTGCAACAGGAAAAGCTATGTTAGATCAACCAAGATCTAGCATTCTGTTCCTACAGTGATGAGTGGTGTCTGGAAAATCCACAAAGAGTATGTGATCAGTGGCTCACCTTCCTGCCGATGACCTTCAACTCCAGTCTCTTAAGAACCATGCACTGTTGGAGGAGATATTTAGCCTTGGAGATGACAAGCCATCGATGAGACCTATCTTCTCACCCTGGTTGCTATATAGCTCTAAGCATGCCACATTGACCACAGTGGGACGACTAACTAAGCGTTCATATCTGCAACATCAATCACGAAGTAATGAACTGGTTGGTTCGGTCCTTTTGCTTAACTGAGTGTATAGAACCTTAGGCAGGTTTTATTAAAGATGAACAAGAATTGTCTTAAACGGATAAAAGGTATATAAATCTTTATTCTCCCCCTCTCAGATTTTGGCATTTCTGAATTCCATCTCCCCAACTGGTGCTCTTTAGTGGCGTTGCACTCCTGCTTGAGCAGGGGGTTGGACTAGAAGACCTCCAAGGTCTCTTCCAACTCTGGCATTCTATGTTTGATGAATTTTCTGAAAATATAAGAAATGACTGTTTTGGGGAATGCGAGGAGCTAACATCCGATACATCTGGAGGATAAGATTGGAGACTGATGCCATATATTTTCTCAGGCGTTCTAACTCCCTGAGTATTAATATCTTCTCCAGAATTTAGCAAAATCTTTTCTTTATCTTCCTTCTCTTTTACAGCGTACATGTGTATTTATTAAAGCCACATTTAAGACATTTGTTAGCTCATGCCTGCTCTTTAAACAGGCATCCTACGCTTTGTGTAAACTAACCATTTCTTTTCCTTTTTCTTTCCTGCAGGGGGATTGGAAAGCAGGGACTTCAGTGCTTAGGTAAGACCTTTCTTTTGACGATGCTCTTGGCATGGTGCTCTTTTCCCCATTAGAGTGCCACATGGTGTGAAAGCACAATCAGCCTTATGGAACAGAGCAGCAGGGTTTTTGGAGGGGAAGGAGAAGATGTGGGCGCTGCAGCCACACTCCTTTCTCCTTGAGTCCCCAAAACATGGGGCCGTTGTTTACAAGGAGAACTGTGCTCTGCACATGCTCAGAAGCTCTCCTGGTCAGTTTGGTTGGCTCACAGCTTGCTCTTGATTAAAAGAGGGTTTTTTAAGCAGGATTTGTAAATTTTTGGAAATGACAGCCTTATGTTGAGGGTTTGCAACTTAACAGATACGAGTTACTGGGGAAAAAGCTGAATAGGTTCTCTTGTTTGAGTAGAAAAGACTACAAGGAAGAGTAGGAGACAATGGTTTGGTTAATTCTTGGTTTTGGGACTTAGCCATATGCTGGCTGGGGAATTCTGGGAGTTGAAGTCCAGATGTCTTAAAAGTTGCCAAAGTTGAGAAACGTTGGGATATACTAGATATCAAGTTAACATCTTATTCAGAGATAGCTGGGACTGAGGAGTGCTAGATGCTGTGATGGCAAGGGAAGAGCAAAGGGTGTGGGGGCAGGGCCAGGCTGCCTCTAATTTCCCCAATTCCCATTTTAATCAAGCAATTTTTGCACACACAGAAGAGTCCCTGATCAGTTTTATTGTTTCTCTGAACTACATTCCTTTAGGCTATTTTAGGACTGTGAAATGTCTCTTTCTTGTATATTTTATACACACATCTACCACACCACCCTCGTGCCTGACTTTTCTGTCAAAATCTACCTTCATTTTTTCACTTGTCCTGTTGGCTTGAGATTCCTTTGTATTCATATACATGTGGTCCAGTGGTGGGATTCAATTTTTTTTACTACCAGTTCTGTGGGGGTGGCTTGGTGGGCCTGACAGGGGAAGGATACTGTAAAATTTCCAGCTAGAGGTGGTATTTGCCGATTCTCCAAACTACTCAAAATTTCCTCTACCAGTTCTCCAGAACTGGTCAGAATCTGTTGAATACCACCTCTGATGTGGTCAGGTATTCCTGTTTACCTTTTGTTATTTATTTATTTATATTTCATATTTCTAAACCACCCATCTCCCTGATAGATATTTGTTCATTTACTGTTCATTTACTTATTTTTATCATCAAAGGAAATTCTCAGTCAAACAGATTATAGTTGTTCCAAAGGTGCTTTTTCAAGAGGCAACTGGACTTTCTTGTTTTTCCTTGAAGACTTTTCCTTTTTCATCCAAGAAGCTTCTTCAGCTCTGACTGGAAGGTGGGGAATGGAAGGATTTATATTCCTTTCAGACAGTTGGTCACTTGCATTCTTTTAGAGAGTCACTGAGGCCACTTGGAGGTTTGTCTGTGTCCTCAGGGTCACTTGAGCAGTGCAAATGGGTGTGGAGTTTTTTTGGGAACTGCTGAAGGGACTGTGTGGTAGACTGGAGATAGAGAGAAGGCTGTTCCATTTTGACATAGATGGCCTCTTTGACCCCTCTTTCAAAGCAGTGGTCCTCTCTGTCCAAAATGTGGACTTAGCTGTCATCAAAGAGTGGCCTTTGTCTTTTAAATGCAGATGGACGGCTGAATCTTGTCCTGATGGGTTTGTTCTCCTATATAGTGCTATGTATTTATGAAGTAGTTGTTTTGTTTTCCCAATGTACAGATCTACACACCGCTCACTGCTTTGTACTGCACATATGTTGCTTAGTTTGTGTCTGTGTTTGTGTTCACCCCAAGGATAAAACACTTTTTAGCTTTTACATTTAATTTGTTTCATTTATTTCATTCACTCTTTGTTCATTTACAGGGGCCGTTTTATCCCACCAAGACTAGCAATTAATATGCCCCGCCCAATGCATACTGATTGGAGATAATGGGAGTGTATCAGGAGAATTTAGGAAAGTTTAATCTTTTGCACGTATCGATTGCTGCCACTCCAGCAATCTGCTTTTAACATATTTCATGCAGTTCTTTTTTCACCCCAAAAGACCATTGATAATAGAATAAATTCTCCAACTGTGATACACGTTTTTTCATGCCCTATTTTCAACTATGTACAAGGTAACTATGCAGATGCAGTGTGGATGAATTTGTCAATATGTAGATTCGCTTTGGGTAATGTGTCATTAGCTGCTCTACCTTCTTTCTCTTGGCCAATATGAGTGACCACTTCTCCTACTGAACTTTGGTGTGGTGCCAACACACTTTTTTTTTCTGTTTGGTGCCTTTCTGTTTTCTTGTTCTCGGCTACCATTGATTCTTTGCTTCTTCATAAATAAATCTCAACAGTTAGAGGAGCCAGAGACTCTGCATAGTCTAGCTATCCATCAGAGAATAAAACTGGAAGGGGATGCAGCACTATAACTAATTAGATGGTTTAATTAGGCATATATATTTGGGTACATGCTGGAACATTTAAAATTGGAAAAGTAAGACTCATTTGACTAGTGCTAAAGTAGAAGAATAAGAATAGTGAGAGAAATGAAATTTGATTAGCAGGAAAAGATCCTGGAATAGGGCTGATAACTTTAACAGCTATCCCAAGACGAGCCCTATATGGATGACAATAAAGAATTCTATTTTATCCTACTCTATATTTACGGATTGAATTGAATTGAGCTATAATGTAGTTATTTGGTTTGGGATTAATGCAATGTGAAAAGCTGCTATTGTAATTTCTAACCCATTATTTATGTGTTAGTATTATATGTGAATCAAATTACAATAGCTTATTCAACAGTGTGATTGAACTTGGGTTTAGCACAATGTGTGAATCCAGCATGAAACAATTTGATTATATTGTTCCTAGCAGGGTAGCTATTTTCAGAATTAGGAAATTGCGGATGGTAAATTCCAGGTAAATATTTACGCAAATATTATTTCTTGTTCATAAAGCTGATAAGAACTGTGAGACAGTGAGACCTTAGCAGGTGAGCAGATTCCCTTTACTGAAGGTGTTTAAGGAAAGGCTAAATGGTGTTGTAGGCACAGGTTGTCCTTGACTTACAACAGTTCATTTAGTGACCATTTACAATGGCACTAAAAAACTGATTTATGTCTGTTTTTCACTGTTGCAGCATCTCCATAGTCGTGATCAAAATTCAGATGCATGGCAATTGACTCATATCTGTGACGGTTGCAGTGCCCCAGGGTTACATGATCCCTTTTTGTGACCTTTTGACAAGCAGAGTTAATGCGGAAGCCAGATTCATTTAACAGCATGTTAACAACTGCAGGGATTCACTTAACAATTGTGGCAAGAAAAGCTGTAAAATGGGGCAAAATTCACTTAACAACTGCTTAGCAACAGAAATGTTGGGCTCAATTGGGGTCATAAATCAAAGATTACCTATATAGGATTCTTCAGTTGAGTTGGACTAGATGACCTCAAAGCCCTGATTTTATGTAGTATGTTATTTTATGTATACCATTTCCCGAAAAAGGATCCTAATTTTTAGAATCCCTGCAGATTAAAGTGAATCAAAAGTCGTTTCTACCAATATGTTTTTTTTTGTTTTACAATCATTTACATGCAAATTTTCTAATTCCTTGTGGAGGACCAGAGGAAGAGAGTCCCCTTCATTATTATCTTTTCAGAGATTTTCCTGCTGAGCTGTTTTTCATCCCACGCTGGGGGTTGGGATAGAAACCTATATATTTTCTTCCATTGCAGACAGGGTGAAGCTGTTTAAAAGGCATTTTCCCTGCACCAGTTTCCCATGAAAAATTATAGCTTCCCATCTGCATTTCATAAAAGAAAGGCGGGCGAATGATTCATGGGTTGGGAATTGTATGCACCTTGGAGACACACAACTAAGGTTCCTTTGTACATAAGGCAGAAATCCACTGAAATTTTATTATATATTTTGACGAGGAAGGTGTGATTATAAAGGAACCTTCCCTCTTTGCGCACAAATGTTGCCCTTGACTCATGAGATATTGCATGTTCTGCTCTCAGCATTGCTAACATCTCCGCTTTTGTGTGTCTAATGTATACAAAGCAGCTCTATATTTCATACGTTCAGCATCTTGCACGCAAACAGGTGAAAAAAAAAATCCTCACAAATATTTTTATGCCATCTGTCCCACTATACACCTCTGGGAGAGGGGCATGCTTCTTTTCTGAGGCCTGGCATCTTCTGCCCGTTCCCTTCTTTGCCCATTGCACTGACGGTGAACAGATTCACTGAGAGGTTCTCTTGTATAGTTCCACCTGAGGATTTAAAAAAATCTTCACCTTTCAAAATTGTATTAGTTGAGATATTAATGGCCATTTGGCTCTTATCATGTTCCTCAGGTTTGGGTTCCCTCCCTCTCAAACAGGCACTGCTGTTTGTGTGTGTGTGTGTGTGTGTGTGTGTGAGGCCCCCCCCGCCCCCCCCCCCCCCCCCCGAACTGGGATGACGTTTTAGAAATCACTTCCTAGACTTGATGGTTGCTAAGAAACCACCCTAGGGCTTTCAGGGAGATCGCTAAGCGACCCCCCCACTCCTCACTTGCCACTTACATCACACCTGCCAATCAACTGTGGTCCCGTCTCATTCTGAATGTGCCTGACTCAAATCTGCCATCGGCATCTGAGCACCCAAATGTTGCCCCCCCCCTCCCCCACCCCCAAATTTGTCTTCTAACTTCCTGGAGAAGATCCACGGTAGACACCCCGAGCAATTCCCCCTCCCAGCTCTTCTAGACCAGCACATATATCCCCACCACCACATTACTTGCACATTATGCTTACCTTACGGGAGGCTGGAGACCCACCTATAGAGGGGCTTCAGCTAGGATCTCTGTTACTATGGCAACCCAGAGATGTTTACAGAAATGGCTCAGCCAAAGATAGGGATTGGGGATCAGGCGGACTGCTGGTGAGGGGATCCTGATGCTGGCTTGTTTCTGAGGTACCTTTCCACAACTTCATACACAAGAAAGAGCTATGAGGGTCAGTTTTGTTTTGCAGCTCTTTAAAAACCCAAACCTCACAATAAAGGGATATCACTTGCTCATGGCCCCTTGTCAAATCTCTGATGAATTGGTCTAACTACAAATATATTTGTTTGGTGTGTGTGTGTGTGTGTGTGTGTGTGTGTGTGTGTGTGTAAGCTAGTGAGAACAACAGAGGAAAACTAATATATGTTACAGTTGTATGAATATAGCAGAATATTTGTAGCTCAGGGTTGAAATGAGGGGTTCATAGTGCTCTCTGAGCTTGGTTGTTTTCTTGCAGATGTTTTATTACCCAAACTAGGTTACATCATAATCACTAGTACTGATGATATTAGTTTGGGTAATGAAAAGTCTGTAAGAAAACAACCAAGCTCAGAGAGCACCAAGGACCCCTCACTAGAGTTATATGCTCTCACTGCAGAGCGACTCTGAGCGGCTAACAATTAAAATCGCGAATGTAAAAATATTAAAAGAATAAGTTGCCTCAGCCCAAAGAGATGGAGTTAAAGTTGGAGTTGAGAGCTCCGTAGCTAAAGTTTCCTATTGTTTTCCGGATAAAGCTTTTAATCTGCAGCTGCTTTGCCTTGTTTCTGGAACTTTTTGAGGTCCTGCAGCAAATTGTCTTATGTTTATAACCTTCTAGTGCTCCCCACCTTTTTTTTTTTTAATATACCACACAAAATCTGTTAAGGAGTGAGGTTTGGGTAACTGCAAAGTATCTTTTGATTAGACAGCAAGGAACTCTCCATCTGGAACCACCCTTTTGCAAACATCTTCTCTCCTGCCTCCAATGTGGTCCAATCTCTTCCCCCGCTGAGCTGGATACTCAGAGATTGTCCCTGCTTGTTTCCATAGAGACCCTCTTCCAAATCTCAGGCCTAAAGCTGCAGAAGGAAGAAGAGGTGGGGAGGGAGGGGGATTGTAGGTGAGAAGAAAGTCACTCTCTCGCCCTACACTTGCCTTCCTGGATTAGCATCTTGGCTTTCTCTCAATAGGTTCCAGTTGCTTGCATTGAGCAGGAGACTCAAGATCAATACTGTAAAATATTTGCTGACTTGCAGACAAACAACTGCAGGTGTCGTTTTAAAATGTCATGCCTTGCATGTTGGCTCAGAATTCATGCTTTCTGAGCAATTTGGTATGTTGCTCAGAATGTCTTTAGGCCTTTTTTAAAGTTTCATCTACCAAAATAACACCTCAAATGCAGCCCTGTGTTCTTGGAATACTTTTTAAACTTGATTTCTTTTTTTTTTTTTGACATGTAGCAAAAATTGATGCATTCTTGAGTAAGACTAATCTGGAAGTTGAAAAACAGGATTTTTATACATGCGTATAGAGCACAGACCAATCTGTCTTGTGATTATAGTACAGGTAGTCCCTGACTTACAACCAGAGTTGGAATCAGACTTTCTGTTGCTGAGCAAGATTGTTGCTAAGTGAGTCGCATATGATTTTACAAAATATTTTTGCCATAGTTGTTAAGTGAATCACTGCAGTTGTGATTGAGTCTGGTTTTCCACATTGACTGCTTGGCAGAAGGTGGCTAGGAAGGTCACAGATGGTGATTCTATGACCCTGGGATGCTACAACCATTGTAAATCCATACCAAGATCCCAAACTGTGATTATCGGAATGTGGGGGTGCTGTAATGGTCGTAAGCCTGAGAACTGGTCGTAAATCCCTTTTTTTCCAGTGATGTTATAACTTTGAACGGTCACTAAATGAATGGTTGTAAGTTAAGGACTATGAATTATGACTTAATTTCTTTTTCATGTCTGGCACATCTTTGATTAGGTTTTGAAAATAATGTCCATCCACCCTGTCTTATGAGTGAAAAAAGGACATGTAACATGGAAAGAGCATATTATATTACGGACGAGAAGATTATACTGTAAGGTGAAGAGAGCAGGGCATATCTTTTATTGTAAATATTTGCAGTTCTATCATCTTCAGTTTTGTATGGCTGAAGATATTAGAGACCCACTATCTGCCTTCAAAGCAGGTAGTAATGAACTAAGATAACACAACTTCACATGTTCCTTTTCTCTGTTGTTAGGTTCTGTAATCTTACAGTAGCATTCTTCTTACAAATAATGTTTTTGACCCTAATACAGTATATTTTGGGCTTTTCCATTGTTTCTTTCTTTTATTAATTCCTTTGCCCAATTGCTTTTTTCCACATCAGACCTATATTTTTCATTAAACACTTTTCTTCTGTGTCCCCTTTCTCAGTATGCAGCTTTGTCGTACATAAAAGATGTCATGAATTTGTCACTTTTGAGTGTCCAGGAGCTGGAAAAGGGCCCCAGACGGATGTAAGTGCCCTTTTCATTACAGAATTCAGTATCTTTTGAGAGATGTCAGATTGTGGTGAGAAAAAAAAAATACTTTGGAGATATTTAAAAACTTGGACAGTGGGTCTCTCCATTCCAGGTGAACGTCCTGGTTTCCTTGCTATTTATACTGCTGACAGAGGGATACTTTCAGCAGCTGGCATGGTCCTATTTCTGTTGCCCTTGGCCTGAAATATTAGGGAATAAACTAGAAAAATTAGCCTCTTCTCTTTCAAAAGAACAAAATTTGCCAACTTTTTTTCTTGAATAAAATTTGGGATTATATTCAGCCATTCTGTGCAAAGGCAAACTTATGTTGTACAGATGCAGACGTATTTCTCTATGTACATCACTTGTTCTAGTGTGGAGAAAATACACAAGCATTTATACACACATATATACATAGACTGGTTGGATAGTGTAATGGGTAGAGCGCAACTTTTGATGTTATCTGCCATGAGCCATTTCATTGTCTCTTCTGTATTTATATTATTATTAGATTGTTTTATCCTGCTTTTATTACTTTTTTCTAAGTAACTCAAGACAATGAACATATGTAATACTTCTTTGTCCTACTTTCCTCACAACAACCCTGTGGGGTGGGGTGGACTGAGAGAGAGGAACTGAAGGCAGAACTAGAACTCACTGTCTCCTGGTTTCTAGGCCAATACCTTAACCACTATAACGAATGGGTTTTTTCTGAATGGTGAGAAAAGTGCATGTAGACTTTTTAGAGATGATGGTAAGAATTCAGATAAAACTGTGGCTTTCTGGCTGTCACACAGTAATGGATAATTGTCTTTGCTAATTACATATGTTCATAAATTTTCTCTTTTGCAGGATCCCCGGAATAAGCATAAGTTCAAAATCCATAGCTACAGCAGCCCCACTTTCTGTGATCATTGTGGCTCACTTCTGTACGGATTAGTGCACCAGGGGATGAAATGCACCTGTGAGTAACCATTAATTTTTCTCTAGGATTGTGTGAATTGTTATAAAAAAGAGAATTAAAATGCTGTTAGCTAAACAGCAGAAATGATTGTCACAAAAAGCTTCTTTCAACTAAGGGCTGCTGTGGCATGGAAAAAGTTCCAGCTCTTAATATTATATCCCTCCTGAATACACAAGGCAAGCAGATAAATCATATTTCTATTGTTAATAGTATGGTTGGTTGCACAATCAGTCAAATGGTTAGATTGGATTTTGCTTTTTTATTCCTCTCTCGAGTCCTTCCCATAGATCTAGGATAAGCAAATATTGTTCAATGGTATTAAAGGTATTGTCACAGGTTGTAAGCTGTTCCAAGTAAAGCCGTCCTAGAAGTTCTCCAGATATTTTGGGATTGCACCCAAAAGTGCCTTTGACTATGGTTACTATCATTGCTTTCTTTTGCCACAGTTGTTCTACTTAATGTTGGCAGGTCTTTGTATCTTGTGATTTCCTCCCATTCCTTTCTCTTTTCTTCTGTTGTCTCCATTGCTACCGCAGAGCCCACTATTCAGACTATTTTCTTTTTTATTGATATGTGTTAATTCTGGATTGTTATTTGGCAGGTGATAGTCTGTTTGACTTTAAAAGTCCCAGAGCACCTTAGCTTGTCCATTTACTATTACAATTGTTTTACTTTGTGGCCCCACCAATTCTTGCTTGCAAGCAAGTGGTATTTCTTGCAGACATTCCTATTGTGCCATTGTTCTACTTTGTCATGCTGTTGTTGGTAGTCAGTCTGTACCATCTTCTTACAGCAGCTAAGCAGGTAATCCACTGTTTGTTCAGCTTCTTTACAGAGACGGCACTTGCTATCTGTTGCTCTCTTCTCAACAATGGCTTTGTATGCATTTGTAGCCCCTTTGTTTCTTTCTTCAGCTTTCCTGGTTTTATTTATTGATAGGACTTGTTATTTGCTTTGCTTACTATTATTTTTTAATGTACTGGATATGTACGCCTTGCCTTGCCATGTCTCTTTTCTATTCTTATTTGGTCTTTCTTATAGGCCAATTTGATCTTTCTGATATTTAATAGTCCTTCAACTATACTTCCAATATTATTACAGTACTAGTAGTTTGTGTGTGTTTATCTGTGTGTAATAACACATGTAGTGCAACAATATAATTGCAAGAGAGTCTGCATTCATATGTGACATTCACATAGCATTCATCTAAAATGCTGTACATAGCATATGCTAGAAGAACTGCATGCTTTCAATAATCAATTTTAGTTCAGTGACTACCTTATTTATTTATTTTATCAAAGCCTTATTCTTTTATTCTTCTACACTTGATACACACTTTAAAAAGTGATGAAGAAGTATTTACTTTCTTCCTGCTGTTCCCTTTTGTGTGTCAAAATGAGTTTGTAAAGTAGACTATTGCACCTTAGATAGGCAAGAGATACAACTTTGGTGTGCTGCCTCAAGTAAACAATGTGATCAAGTAAACTAGAAGGGAGAAAGATTCTAGTACTTCTCTTGTATTGATATTGAGCCTATCTGCTTATTGGGAATTTTTTTTTTACATGAACAGAGCTTCTCAGGTTTCTTGAAAATATTAAACGGTGACCCTCCATCTATGATTTCAGTAGTTGCAGCCTGTTATTAATCTTACTATCATAGGCTTTTGAAAGTATAGATTAAGCGATTTTAAAATTGTAAGCCTTGTAGAATTCAGTGATAGTCAAATAACCATTAGCTGGATACATGACACTATTTATATCTGGCATACAAAGAAAATACTATTCAATTTTGTAACTTCATTACAGCAAGGCAGGTCTATAAATTCTGGGGTATAGAAGTAGAATCATCTGAAATTGCACCCCCGGGGATGTAGAAACATCAAAATACATAAATTAAAAAAGAAATTTTCTGTAATCTAGTGCAGCCAGTATTTTAAGAATTTCGGAATTATAACTGAGAAGCCATTGCATCAAATGTGGGTGCCTGAATGTGTAATTATGTTAAAGGGCAGTAATTGGTTTCTTTAATGGAAGATGTGGCCAATATTATGATTTTGCTTTCTCCCTAAGATTTAGAGTGGATCCCTGCAATCAGTTACAGAACAGATGGTGAACAGCCTTCAGCTAATTTGCTGAATCTGACCTATGCTTTTTCTGAGTTAGGCTTGCAAACACAGCCAAATGGCTTCTCCATTTCAAGAGCAATATCAGCAAGATGTTTGCATGTAGCAAAGAAGACTGTTATCTCATTAGAAGCATCTTAGTTAATTAATGATATGGATTTGCAGTGATTAATCTTTTTTTAAAAAAACGAAGTATACATTGATACAGTATATATGATACAGCGAGCCATAAACTGTAAGCTGGCATTCTCCTAAACAGGACGAGGGAGTATAAATGAATGAAAAAGGAATGCCTCTTTTTTAAAAAAGGTACCTTTTATCTAGGGCATTTATAACTTCCTGCACTAAAATATTTAACTTACAGGGAAACAAATGTGATTTCACTAACTGAAGGCATATTATAAAATTAGAAGTAGGGATGTGCTTGAAGCAGAAATGTGTTTTCTTTTGAACTTGGAACAAACAGACCCACTTGAAATATCCTAGATTGAATGTTTTGTTCTAGCGTGTCTGCTCTTTGAAGTAGGCAAGGTCAAGAAACATTGACATTCCAATAATGCTACTTTATAATAGTAGAATATATTAACAGAATCTTGAAATCCTATCCTAGTGTTTCTCAATCTCACTTCATCTTCCAGAATTCTCTAGCTAGCATGAAGTCCACCCATCTTAAAATTCCTGTGATCGAAAAACATTATAAACATGTCCTGCACTGCTCTCTATCTTTTATTATACTAATAAAACCAAAGTAGTTTTCTTAGTTTCTTTCTTATGCTTTCTTTATACTCTGGGAAATGTAAATGCTTCTACAAGCCCCTCCAGGACAGTTGCTTCATACCAAATTCATACAATCTCCTTTATTCAATCTTGGAATAAACTCTTAAAACACACATATTTTATACCAAGCTTACAACATTCAGAAGGTTGAATTGGTTGGATGTGAGGTTTCTTCCTGTGACCTGAACTGTAGAAATTCTAAAATATTGTTTAATTTTTGAAATAGGTAAAATTTGTTCTGATTGCTGTTTTTTCTGGCCTCAGAACAAAACCCTTGCAAATGCAAAGCTCAGAACATTCAAACTAACCATGTTTAAGTTAAAAGGTTTTGAAAATTAAAACCCCAAGATTTATTTACTAATATTTAGAAAAACCTTTCAATATAAGCAATAAATTGAACCTGTGTCTGAGTATGGAAATCTATTCTTTATGTCTATCAGCTTTGGGCTGATTTGCCAACCTCTGTTGCCCCCTGCAGGCTGTGAGATGAATGTACACAAACGCTGTGTCCATTGTGTTCCCAGTTTGTGTGGTGTTGACCATACAGAACGCCGTGGACGCCTCCAACTTAACATTGAGACATTTGGGAGCGATGAGATCCGGGTGACTGGTAAGGAAAGAGTGGCATTGAGGTGTAATGAAATTGGACATATGTGTCTACTCACTTATTAATATCTTATTAGATAGATATCCTGATGTCAACATTTCAGTGTTGAAACTTATATTGGTGGCATCATCAGGAACTGGGCCTTTTTGGTGGTAGTCTTTCAAAAACAATTTGCTTTGCTCTTCTGTCTTTTAGATGGTAAGTTACAGTAATTCAATTTACCCAGATTTTTGATGAGCTCAAATAATTCTAATATTCCTTTAATGCTACTACCGGTATTAACTGCCTCTTATAACTAAATGTGAAATAGAAAGTGATAGAATATGAGGATTGGAAACTTTATAAAAAGAAAGCAAGCTGAAGAAACTGGGACTTCCATTTTGTTTATGAATCAAATTTATATGGTTGTCATCTCTTTGGGGCCAAGCTAGTTTGAAAAGTGGGAGAAGGCACAGAAGTGGGGATGCAGTATTGTTTGCCCAACATAATTTATTTTTTCTAAGGAATAAAATTTGCAAATTTGGGGTGTATACTCATGAGGGCAAGCACACTTTTGCTAATGGCAGCCCTTGGGAAAATCTCAGGACTTTACTAAAATACCCAAGGCAAACAAATTATTTCTGGGTAATAGTTTTCATTGTTTTGCCATCTTTCAATATGCAGAGATAGCTTCTGAACTTGCAGTTTCTATATAAATTATTAGTTCTTTTTTTGTCTCAAGATAAGATCACTTAGTTTATTAACACCGCATGCTTGTGACTATCATACCTGAAAGGAGCTTGATAGATATTTTGAAAAGTCTACCTGGGAGTGACATAGATTTCATTAAATCGATCAGTTAGACACAAGTCTTCTGGTGAAAGAGCCCTAAGCATTTCAAATTTATTTCTTTATTTTACTTCTTTATTCCATTTCTCTAGCTGTCCAACTCAATCAGATGACGAACTACCTTCAACATGGTGGTGTAGCACTTAAAAACTACTCTTGATTTTTAATGTCACAAATTAAAAGGCCTCATTTTAAAACATTGATGAATATGCCTTTGCAAGCTTTAATCCATGAGTAGACTAACTAATCCATCTTATAAATATTTCTGTGATAAAAATTTCAGAATATAGGCAACAAAGTGAAACGTAGCAGACATCCACAAATCTGCTTTTCTCCTCCACTTGTTTCAGAGGGGGCCAGAATAAATTATATAAATATGGGCATGTTTGCTCATTTTGCATTTTTAAACATGCAACAATTTATTTAGGATCCAATATTCAGCTTTTTATTTGATTCTGATATCAGATGTAAAATCCCAGTGAAATTTCCTGGGCAAATATGCATATTAATTTCTGCAATTCCTTCTCCCCCCCCCCCCCCCCCCTCCCCCCTGCAACGATTCAATTTAGTTATGGTAGACTAAAGCTGGACCTGGAAGTCACGAAACCTCCCCTTTTCGTTTGAAGAGGGATTAACTTATTGTCATGAAAAATAGATGAAAATAATGCATAATGCATAATGCACACTAAAAATATTAAAGAATAATGAAAAACCGAAGGCAGCCCAGATGATGCGATTGGAGGGTTGAAGAATGGCTTGGGCTTTCAGAACAGAAGAATATTGCGGCAGTGACAACAAGACAGTCGCAGTTTTGATAGGCCGGGATCTGATTGGGTTGGTGAAGGCTGGGCACCTGGGTTCTATTCCTAGCTGCAAAACTTGACATTCCCCCCGCCTCTGCTTTTCACACCTTCCCCTGCAGACTTTCTTGCTGTCTTTCTCCCGCATTCTGGAACACCAGCACGTAGGTGGTGAGAAGAAAGCCATTGCTTCGTTCTTCTTGACAGAAGGGGATTTCCTCACCCACCCTACCATCCCCTTCACCCCCATGCACGCACACACACACACAAAACGCGCACAAGTTGCTGCCGCAGCGATTTTCGTGGCCTACAGCAGGTGGCCTGGGACAGATGCCAGAAGTTCCTCCTCCCTCAGCCCACCAGCAAACACAGGAGGTCTGCCTTCCTACCCACTCACTCTTCCCTCTGGTACAAGGACTCCGTTGGAAGTTAATAATCTTTTTTAGAAGCCGATATCACTGTTTCTATTTCCCTCCCTTCTTTCCGTATCAGTTGGAGAAGCGCTGAACTTGATCCCGATGGATCCCAATGGCCTCTCTGATCCTTACGTGAAAATCAAGCTGATTCCTGACCCAAAGAATCTCACAAAGCAAAAGACCAGAACCGTCAGGTCCACCCTTAATCCTGTCTGGAATGAAACCTTTGTTTTGTAAGTACAGGGAGGAGAGGTCTCAGGGAGCTATGTATTTTATTTATCAAATTTAGAAATGGCAGGAGGAGGAGCTTCGTGGTGCTAACCAGCCCCACGGCCGTATGCTCTTCTGGGAACCCCAAGCACGATGGCAGAGACAAGCCATCAGGGGAAGAATGTTCTAAAGGGTGGGAGCAACGGCACAGAAGGCTCTTTTCCTGACTGATCGGAATTCTTTAACCCGGGAGTCTCCAAACGTAGCAATTTTAAGGCTTGTGGACTTCAACTCCCAGAATTCTCCCGCCAACCATGCTTTAACAGAAGGTGTTGCAGCGGGACCAAGTGGGAAAGGCTGAAGTGTAATGGGACAAAGATGATCCAATAGGTAACCTGTCCCTATGCCAGGTGGGGCTTCAAAGGTCACAACCAACACTTGAATTGGACCTCGAAGCAACTTCAGCCCCGAGTGCAACTTGTGCTGCAGAGGGGTTTCATGCATCATTCTTTGGCTCCCAAGATTGATTGCGCAGCCTCATTCCGTACCAGCTGAAGCTTCTGGATACTGTTCATTGCAGTAATCCAGTTGGGAGATGATCAAGACTTGAGTGACTTGAGTGGAGAGCCTTCCTTTCCAGGAAAGGATGCACAACATGAAATAATAATTTATAAAAAAAATGGTTTATTCAGGGTTTTTTTTTTAATCTCCTCCTTTCCCTTTATCACCCACCAGCACCCTGCAGCCAGGTGACATGGACCGGCGCCTTTCCATCGAGGTTTGGGACTGGGACCGGACAACCCGCAATGACTTCATGGGCGCCATGTCCTTTGGAGTCTCTGAGCTGTTCAAGGGTCCCGTGGAAGGCTGGTAAGGGGAAATCTGTTGGGTAGGAAAAACTGGAAGAGAACAATGGAGCAACTCAGTGGGCCACCAGTGCTCATATTCTCTCTCTTTCTCCGTCTTGGCGTCTTTTTGGATTTTATCTGTTGCTTGATTGGCACCATCCTCTTTCTCTGTCTCTCACTCTCCTCTCTTTTAATTTAACCCCACAAATATCTCCCATTTTTGGCTTCCATCCATTCATTCTGTTCTCCTCTTCCTGTTTCCTTCCATTTTCTTCCCCATCATCCCTCTTGCTCATTCGCTCCCTCTTTTGTCCACTTCCGCCCTGCCCAATGTCCCTGTCTGCGTTGCTGTCCCAGGTACAAATTGCTCAATCAGGAGGAGGGCGAATATTATAGTGTCCCTGTGGCGGATGCAGAAAACTGTGGGCTGCTGCAGAAATTTGAGGTAACCATGTGGCTCCATGACAATGTTTGGATTGGTACCCCATATGCCTACACTGAGCCATACCCTGAGCTCTGCCGTACAACACCAGCAGAACTCTTCCCCTGGGGCAGTTTTACCCAGTGCAAGGAGCTCACTGAAAGAAGGGATGTGATGGGTGAGATGGCAAGAGCTCTTCCAGTCAGCAAACAAAAACTAGAAACAGCACTGTGGGGTATAGGGCCTAAAAAAAGAATCTAGTTTTTCAATAGAGCCACTTGCAATGTTTTTCGTATTTCGCTGTTATCCCATAAATGAGGTGCGTGGCTCAGTGGTTTAACGATGCTGGAGATGGTCTTTGCTTCAGCGGGTTTGAATCCTAGCACCACTTGGTGGGGCGAGCTCCCATCACTCGACTTAGCTTCTGCCCACCTAGCAGTTTGAAAGCATGTTATACGCAACTAGATAAATAGGTACAACTTTGTTGGTGAGACGAGACAGCACTTCATACAGATGGTTAGAATACTGCTGGCACTGGACCTTCCCAATTGCAATGCCCGTTTGCAAGCTGAGTGACAGCTTTGGAGGAGAAAAAGGGCCCCGGATGACGCTGCAGGAAAGTCGCTTGTCTTTCTTTCTGGTGTGGAACTAGCTATCCCCCTGTGGTGCACTTTGAAAAGTGTGTGACCATGAATCAAACAGGGCTCGCAAATCTTAGGTAGCCAAACTACTATTCTGCATTAGCATTGTATTCTCCTGGCTAATGTAACATTGCCATACGCTAAACAAACAACCCCATTAAAGTTACCTTTTAAAGGCAGTTTGGGCTATGTATGATACACTCACTGTGTTGTATCTAGCCTAATCATAAAGCATGTATGTCACAGCTCTACAATCTACTGTGACAAACACAGTGTTATTGAAGGGCAGGCCTGTTGATCTATATCAGAGGTAGGGAAACTTGGCTCTTTTATGACTTATGGACTTCAACTCCCAGAATTCCTGAGTGAGCCATAAAAGGTTCCCATCCCTGGCCTACTGGTTTTTCAGTTGTGGGGGAAATCAATTTTTGACTTGAATGGGACTGTTTAATATACAAACGTAGGACATATACTACATTTGTACTGTATATTAAACAGTCCCATTCAAGTCAAAAATTGATTTCCCCCACAATTGAAAAACCAGTAGACCAGGGATGGGGAACCTTTTATGGCTCACTCAGGAATTCTGGGAGTTGAAGTCCATAAGTGATAAAAGAGCTAAGTTTCCCTACCCCTGATCTATACGATCAGCTCTAATGTGAGCCAAAATGATAGATGGTTCAGAGAAAGAGGGCTTTAGCAACCTTCTCTAGCTATTTTGTGGGGGGGAGATCTGTGCGTTTTATTTTGACTTGAGTCTGCTGAAACGGCATTCAGTATCCCGCCATTAGACAATCTCAACTGTCTTCTCTGAATGGAGAGAAGCATCTTAGCCTTTGCCTTAAACAACTACATTTATTGAGATGGTCCTATAAATGGTGGGTGGGTAGTCCAGCAGAAATTACATTTTAATGAAGAGGCAGGATGGAACCGAGGTCGTATAGGCAGCTTCTTACATCTTGATGTTCTGTTTTCCAGGCTTGCAACTTCCCTCTGGAACTCTATGAGGTATAAAATTTTCTTCTGTTCCTTTTATTTTGAGAAGGAGCGAAGGAGGAATCCTTGTGCTGCCATAAAAGCAGCCATCAAAACTCACTTAGAGAAAGAGGGTAGTGCAGGACATAAGAACAGAGAAAGAGCCCACTTGATCCCTTGAGTCTACTGATGTTCATGCAGCCCTTTCCTTTTAGGACCAATTATGTTGCTTTTTGGCTGCTCGCAGTAAATTGCCCATCATTGACCCCTTCTAGCAGCCATTGATATGTTCCTACTGAACTTGGTAACATGTGCTTAGCTAACGTGCTTAACAGTCACAGATATGTCTCTCCTTGGGAGCTTTGTTGGCTGAATCTCAGTGTTTAATTCTGGAGAAAAAACATCCTTAGATCCATCCATAAGTTGGAAGGAGAAAAATGGAAGTGGTAAATACTTTTGAAGCAAAAGTATCAGAGAAGGAAAGATAACTGGGTATTACTGCTAGGATTTTCTGCCTAAAAAATCTGGGTCAGGAATCTTAGCAACTTTCTTAATTTACTGTGGATCTGCCATGTTTTTGTAATGCCTCCACAGGTCCTTTTGTGAAGAAAGTTGATTTGCAACTGATTATGTATCAAAGTTACTCCATTGTTCATGGAGATTCTCAGTCATCCAGGTCAAGATTGTCCCAAAGTACTTTTTCAAGAGGCGACTGGACTTTCTTCTTTTTTTTCCCATCCAAGAAGCTTCTTCAGCTCTGACTGAATGGTGGGGAAAGGAAGGATTTATATTCCTTGCAGTCAGATGGTCATTTGCATTCTTTCAGAGAGTTGTTAAGGCCACTTGGAGGTTTCCTCAGGGTCATCTGAGTAGTGCAAATGGGTATGGAGTCTTCTTGGAACTGCTGAAAGGACTGTGTTGTCATTAAGAAGTTGGAGCTGTGTTTTCTGCAGGAAAGCACAGAAAGATTGCAAATGACCAGCTGTCTGCAAGGAATATAAATCCATTCCATCCCCCACCATCCAGTCAGAGCTGAAGAAACTTCTTGAATGAGAAGTGAAACGTCTTCAAAGAAAAACAAGGAAGTCTACTTGCCTTTTGAAAACGCATCTTTGGGACCCTTCATTGTTCATTCTCAAACATTCTGTAATATCTAAGAATTTTACCATTTGTACTAAATGTAGCTTGTACCAGCTTCCATTTTAAAGGTATGAAGAAGCAGGTGAACACCCAAGGCACCCTCCTCAAAATGGCAGAGATTGCTGAAGTTTTAATGTAACTGTGGTTGCGATGCCCTTACTTCTGAATCTGCAGAAACTTCCATGCCTGCATTTCCTCCTTTTGTTCTGCAGAAGGTTCGCCATGGTCCTATCCCATCTCCATCTCCAAGCCCCACAGACTCTAAGCGTGGCGGATTCTTTGGCATCAACCGCTTCCACATCTCGGACTTCAACTTTCTCATGGTTCTGGGCAAAGGAAGTTTTGGCAAGGTGGGTCTGCCATTAGGCAGTAGGTCAGAGGTACACAAGAGAGGGAGGTACACAGGAGTGGGATTCAGCTGGTGTGCGCTGGTTTGGGTGAACCGGATGTTAAATTTACATCTGAACCGGTAGTTGAACCGACCGGCTGGCTCCGCCCACCCCCTCCCCTCCCCTCCCATGAGTCTCCACGCGGTCTGTGCGGAGGCTCTGGAAGGGCGAAAAACAGCCCTCCCAGAAGTTCCAGAATTTCGGAAATGGGCCTCTTTCCAGTTTCCAGAAGGCCTCTGGAGCCTGGGGGGAGGCAGAGGCCCCCTCAGAGGCCTGAGGGAAGCTTCCAGACTCTGGGGAAGGTGAAAAACAGCTCTCCTGGAAGTTCCAAAAGTCGAGAACCAGGCCTATTTCCAGCTTCCGGAAGGCCTCTGGAGCCTGGGGGAGGCAGTTTTTACTCTCCCAGAAGCCCAAGGGAAGCCTCTGGACTCTGGAGGAGGCAGAAAATGGCCCTCCCGGAAGTTCCAGTAGGCCACACCAACCATAGGCACGCCCACCCAGCAACCGGGCAGAGAACCAGTTGTTGGGATTTTTGAATCCCACCCCTGGAAATACAAGTATTGGCAGTGCCAAATTGTGGGCCCTTGCAAAGGTAGAATTTCCTTAAGTTAGGTGGGAATAAGACTCAAGACACTGGAATTCTTTCTCCACAGGTGATGCTGGCCGAACGTCGGGGGACAGATGAGCTCTATGCCATCAAGATCCTAAAGAAAGACGTGATAATCCAAGATGATGATGTAGAATGTACTATGGTGGAAAAGCGGGTCTTGGCCATGGGGGAACGTCCACATTTCCTAACTCAGTTGCACTCTACCTTTCAAACAGCGGTAATCCTTGTCTTCCAGAGTTATTTCATTAAACAAATATTAGCCTTTTAATTAAATAGATCGGGAGTGTCCAGCCTTGGCAACTTGTAGGACTTGTGAACTTCATCTTCATGAATTCTCCAGCCAGCCGTGCTAGCTGGGGAATTCTGGGAGTTAAAATGCACAAGTCTTAAAGTTGCCAAGGGTGGATATCCCTGAAATAAACTCTTTAATTGGAAAAAATAATTTCTTCCTGCCATTTACATTTGGACACAGGAGAAATCAATAGTTCTGCACTGAAAAACACCATGTGTCCTTGAAGTTTTTAAAATTATTCTTGTAAAAAAGGCTGCTTTTAAGACAATGCCAGTTGTTTTTATATTATAATTTTTTAATTTTATTATATTTTATAATTGTGTTCAAAATAATTCGAACAATGAAAAAAAACACTACTTTTTTATTAATGAGGGCTTATTTATATAATCAAAGTATGTTTTATTTGGTGAACTGACGAACTGATGCTAGAGGTTTTAGTCCCATTACATAAAAGGATGGTTAGGGAAATGAGAAAACAAGGTATTAGGGAATTCTGGAAGTCCACACATCTTAAAATGGCCGAGGTGGAGAAACACTGATTTAGGGAATACTTATAGATGAATTTATTTGTCTGGGGACATATTCTGCTCTTTTCCTTTAAGGACCGGCTGTATTTTGTTATGGAGTATGTCAATGGAGGAGACCTAATGTATCACATCCAGCAGGTTGGGAAATTCAAGGAACCCCATGCTATGTACGTGAGTTTTTTGGGGGGAAGTTGGCTATCTGTATGTCAACCACCATCAAACCCAAAGAAAAGTTACTCTGAAAAAGTTAAACAAAGATTTAACAATCATGATCAGCTCCCAAGAGTAGTAGGCTGATCATTTGCTCACCTGGTTTAATATCCTAGTCTAGTCCGGCAATGCACTATCAGCAAAAAACAGCACCGTTTCTTGTTTGACTTAAGAAAATTAGAGATATGAGAAAAGTTATCTCCCACTTCTCAGGTTATAAGTAGTCCTCGGCTTATAACTACAGTTGATCCTATAATTGTGGTTATAAGTTGTGTCTGTAATTAAACAGGTCATCATGTCATTGTGCTCAATTTTATGACTTTTTAATGGCAATTGTTAAGTGAACAATTGTTAAAAACTGATGTTCACATACCAGAGGTGGGGAACAACGTCCCCTTTATGACTTGTGGACTTCCAACTTTCAGACTACTGGGAGTTGAAGTCCACAAGTCATAAAAGGGCCATCATTTCCCATCCTTGGCATGTATAATGAAGTTAGGTGGGAAAGCAATAATTTATGAGATTGTGAAGTAAGATGATTGCATAATTTCAGACTGGAGGTAGAACAATGCTTTTATTTATAAAAAAAAAGACAAAAAAGAGAAAATTCTTGCAAAGAATGAAGTTTGTCGTTAAGGTGCCACACTAGAAACCAGGAGGTAGTGACTTTTACTCCTGCCTTAGGTACAAAGCCAAGTAGGTAACCTTGAGCCAATCATTTTCTCGCAGCCCTAGGAATGAGATAGTGCAAACCACATTTTACAAATCTTGCTAAGAAAACCAAAGGATCTTGGCCAGGACTCAAAAACTTGAAGGCAGTCATAGACAAACAAATAATTCTTAGCAAGTGATTACTGTCCTCTGGTGGAAAGGAGACGCTCTTGCTCTGCCGCTGGCAAACGTTTTTCCACCTGGCAGGGCAACTAGGGCCAGATCTTCATCACTGGGTTAAAAAAAGAAAGATTCTCTGGGGAAAATGTTGGGATGATTTGAACATCCCAACATGGACTGCCTTGGTTTAAGAATAGTCTTAGTCATAACCATCCAACAGAGCTAGAAAATGTGACCATTGAAACTGCCATAAAACACACTCTGAAAATGGTAGCAGTGAGCTATTTGCCACCCTCTTTCTAACCACCCTCTTTTCCTCTGTTCTTCTATAGGTTTTATGCAGCTGAAATTGCAATTGGCCTGTTCTTTTTGCATAACAAGGGGATTATTTACAGGTGAGCCTGGTTGCTGTCCCTTCTCCATGTCCACCCAAGCTTAGAGAAGGAGGTCTTGATTACAACTCTTTGGGCCTAACTACAAAATCCCAATGTTTTTGTAAGAATTGAGAAGATACAGCTCCAATCCTTTCTTTCCCTCCCATGAGCTCTCTAGCCTTCTTCTCCCCCACCCTGCCCCATGTCAAAATATGAATACAGATAATAGCAACAGACATATACTGCTTCGTAATGTTTTACAGCACTCTCAGAACAGTTTACAGAGTCAACATATTGCCCCCCAACAATCTGGGTATCATTTTACCTCCCTTGGAAGGATGGAAGGCTGAGTCAACCTGAGTCAGGATCGAACTCCCAGCAGAGTCAGTTTAATTCTCAATTTATGACCATAATTAAGCCTGGAATTATGGTCATAAGTCATGGTGCTCATCAAGAGGGTTATTACATGGCTGCATTGATTTTACAACTTTTTTTTGCAGTAGTTGTTAATTGAACTCTGTGACTGTTAAGCAAATGCCACCCTCATTAAGTGAACGTGGTGGTTGTTAACCTGGTTTTCCCAATGGGTGATTTTTATTGGAAATTGGCAAAAAATACTCAAAATTGCAGTCATGTGACCATGGGATGCTGCAAATGGTTGTAAAGCTGATTGCCAAGTGTCCAAATGCAATCACGTGACTGGGTGGAGGGCTCCGAACTCAAACTGCCTCATAAGTCGATCCATTGTAACTTCGGCAAGTCACTAAATGACAAGTTGTTAAGCGAGGTCTAGAGATTCTGGAGTCATATAATTGGAACCCTCCATTGGTCAGACTTGGTTGCAATTCTTCATACTATTGTCTCTAGGGATTTGAAATTGGACAATGTCATGTTGGATGCTGATGGCCACATTAAGATCACAGATTTTGGGATGTGTAAAGAAAACATTTTCCCTGGCATCACCACCAGGACATTTTGCGGGACACCTGACTACATTGCTCCAGAGGTACAGATCTCCAGTATTGATACTTAAAAACATAATGCACCCAGGTTCCTTCTACTTTCATCTTCTATTTCCAGTTTGTTTCTGGGCAGGATGTAAGGCAAGACTACCTGATCTCAAAGCCCACAATGACTTAGGGATAAGTCACTTAAACAAGCATCTTCAATTGCAGGTTCCTAATTTTGGGGTTGCCGTTGGATAGGAGTTTAGGTCAAGTCTTCTCTGCAATTCCCATGTTTAGGGATAATCTCTCTACTAAGAGCAGAGAAGTCTCATCTTAAATTCCTTTTTGTGGTCAAGCTAATCAATGGTTTTAGCTGGTTGGATAGTTTTGCTTGTATTTATTTTTTAAAAAGCAGGTTTTTAAAAAGGTTTAATTATTTTTTGTTTTATTTGCTATTGAATTTTTTAAATAAATCATCTCTCTACAGACATCTGGGGATTAATCTTAAATTACTTTCTGTGACCAGGCTTTGGGTAATAAGTTTAAATGTCTAACACTTTAGCTAGTTGGCTAGTTTTAATTGCTTTTATTTGTTTTAAAATCTGTAATAGTTTGGTGTTATTGTATCGTTTCATAAAATCATTTTCCCACAAATAAAGAGATAAGTGGAGCCCAAATGTAATTGCAAAACAAGGAAAGAACTGGATCTCTTTTTGGTCTCTGTATAAACATAAAGCCTACTGCTCTTTAAAATTTCAGGGTTTCAAATTCCTACACCATACGCTTACATACATACAAACTGACTATATCTATTATAGCTGGTGTATTTTTGCATCTGAAATCCAGTTTTTACAATTAAACATGTGAATTATTTCAATTCAGGAACTCAGCCTTGCTTTTTTCCCTCTTAGGCGCTATGTTCTCCCTAGGCCATTTCAGTTTTAAGTTTCGAAATGCTCCATCGTGTCTAGTTTGACTCTCAGAATATTTTGGATGGAGGGGACAGGGAATAAATGAAAACTCTGTTCTTTTATTGCATTTCAATTTTAATTGGTTGAAAAGCCCAGGATCCTAACTGTGTTGTGGCCATGGTTTTGAGGTTGAATCAAAGCAATGCTCTTTGCTTCAAACCAGCCTTTAAAAATAAAATTACGATGTCAAGAGTAGGATAGCAGGCTTTTATCAAGGTCAAACTGCATGGAATGTATCTGTCCCATTTAAAAATTACTGTTTTATTTATCAGTTCAAAATGCAACTATCACTGCTTAAATGCTCTATGCTCTAAGTATTTCATGAGCCACCTTCTTTTGTAATAACCAGCATACATATTTTATTTATCAATGGAAACTTTGCTCCAAAATTTCCACTGGAAGTATAAACAGAAATATAAGACAAAATCTTTTTTGGTGGTAATTCTTGGAGGATTGAGTTGATTCTCTACAGGGCATACTCTGTTCCTCATACAAGCAGTCTTTGACTTACAACCTCAATTTGGGGTTGTAATTTCTAAGTTGTTGCAGCTGTAAGTTGAAACAGACTTGATTTTTATGGTGTCATTAAGCAAATAACAGTTTTTAAGCAAATCCAGCTTTCCCAGTGGGTGTTTTTTGCTGGAAACTGGCAAAATAAAGGCCACAAATTGTGATGACGTGACTGCAGGATGCCACAACCAGTTGTAAATCCAAGCTGGTTGCCAAGCACCTGAATTGTGATGACATGACCATGGGAGTAGTAGGACAGTCATAAGTGTAAGTACAGGTAGTAAGTCACTTTTTCCAAGTCCATTGTAATTTTGAACAGTTGTCAAACGAATTGTTGTAAGTCGAGGACTATCTGTCAAGATTCCGGCAGTTACTCCAATTAAATCATGAGCCTCGAGCCACACTTCCAAAACTAAAAAAGATTTATTTGAAGGTAACATTCTATGTCCGGCATTTACCTGGGCCTACGCCAATTCTGAAATACGTAATTCACTGTCACCCTTGATCCTGCTTTTCCCCCAACCCCTCTGGTGTATCATCCAACGAAAAACGTTTATAGTTGACACTATCTGTACTTGCTTGCTTACTTTATTCATTTGTTTATATTAAATATGATTCCTACTTTGCAAACTTTGAAAAGATATTATTCTTTTGGTTAAGTATTTGGCCTCAGTGGAGATATATGTTTTTTTTCTCTTTGATTTTTTTTTTGGCTTTCTTGGTTATGTTTGGCTTGATTGTAGATAATTATATCTTTAATTTTGTTAGCTGCTCAGTTGGAGCTGCCCTGATCAAAATGTGAAATGAGATATATCTCAAGGGGCTGAAGTTCTCATTTTCCCCTCTCTTAAGATTATAGCCTACCAGCCCTATGGGAAGTCTGTGGATTGGTGGTCATTTGGTGTTCTCCTATATGAAATGTTAGCTGGACAGGTATGTATATGCAAGGATTCAGGTACGTATATGCAAGAATTCCTTACCATTTATTCCACTTCAAAAATGTCTTTACATTATCTGGAGAAATGATTGATAGCCATGAAGCTATGAGATCAGGAAACAAAGGCTATTAGGGATTAAACTCAGTCATTACCATTTCCTGGGTGTGCTTCAGAGAATTTTCATAATTTTCAAGTGGGGTTGAGATCTTTGGGCGTAGGGAATTTGTTGCTCATTGAATCACTGATAACAAACTAGCATTCCTTCCTGGATGCTAAGGTGCATCAGTCTCATATGAGAAACTAGGAGTCACCAGGGGAAGAAGATGCTTAGTGGCTCTTAGCCTAGTGGAAACCTTAAGAATTGAGGCTGAGAAAAAGAGGTTGCATTAAAGCTGAAATATATGTTTCCACTGAATTTAGTGTTAGATGAACAATTCTCCATTTATTAATTATGTCATTTATATAGCTGCCCACCTCACACAAGTGACTTTGGGCAGATGACGAGATTAAAGCAAACAACCCCTCCAAACATAACCACCCCCTTGGGGTCCAAGGAGAAATGATTAGCCATAGCAGCAGAGCCCACCCCCACGCTGACCCAAAGGCCTGGGGGAACAGTCATTGGGGCCATCTGAATTTTGGGCTGATGCTGTTCTATCAAAAAGACATTGTTTAATAAAAGGTACCTGGAACATACCTTCTCTGCTAGATCTGGTGGGGAGGGCAGAAACAATTGGAGAAAGGGCTTAGTAGACATTTTGAAAAGAAATGCACTCATGCGATTTCAGAAATGTAAAGTAGAAACAGGGAAAGAATCTTCTCGTTCTTCCAGAGGGCTTTGTATATTTCGATTGCCATGCATACTTTTGTTCTCTGTATGAATCCAAGTGCCACTCTGCAACTTCCTTTTGCACAAAAACCTGGAAATATGGCTCAAAGATGTAAGATTACGTGTGTCATTTATCTGTGTTATGTGTACAGCAGTTTTTTTACACTACTGAGACTTCCAAGTAGGAAAATGTATTTAATAGAGCAAACATTTCACACACATACATGCTATGCTTTCTGGGGGGCATAGAATCATTGTTGCTTATTTTCCCTGTGTTTTCTTGGTCTGCAGCCACCATTTGATGGGGAGGATGAGGATGAGCTCTTCCAGTCGATCATGGAACACACAGTATCTTATCCTAAATCTCTTTCACGGGAGGCTGTCTCCATCTGCAAAGGAGTGAGTCTTGTTTCAGAACTGTCACACCTAAGTGGAAGGGGCCCCTTGTCATATTTCCTGAGACAACATGAAAGATTGAACTCTGTCAGCCCTCCCAGGTAGTCCAGAAAAGAAACAGGACTAGTTCAGCTAATTCAACTTCATTGTAAGGCTACACTTACAAAATCTCACAAATTTCAAAGTACAGATCTCCCGCTGTTTTTTTTTTTAACCACCTGATAAGTTAGGGTGGTTCTTTTCTATCCCTTTCTCTTCCTGTTATGCAACTACAGGCTACACCCCCTCTTATCTGATAGTTCCCTAGGCAGCTTTTCTTCTAGCTCCTATGTCCCAAGGTCATTCCCACACACCATTACATATCTAATGCTACAAGAACCATTTCTAAGATGTACAGTTTTGCAGGGAAGTGACAATTGATACAGAATTCCCCAGGGATTTCTAGATGTATTGAACTTCAGTTCAAATAATTCTCAGCATCATGTCCAACACATCTGGACTATATTGAGGAATGCCAAACTGATGGATTGTCTTTTGAAAAAAATCTGGCCTTTGAAACTTATATGGATTTGTTCCCTCCTTGGTTTTAAAACCAAAAAGTAATCCAAGTTTACATTAAACACTGCCAGGGGAAAATCAGTATGGTTGGATGTAGTTAAGTATTTATTTCATCTCTTTGCCCCGTGGGTGTTCCTCTGTTTCCAGTGTAAATGTGGGAACTCTTGTTTGCTTGGTTCAGTGTCTCCTTCTGTTTTGCCAAGTGTCAGAGCAAGTTCTGTATCGGATGCCCAGGCAATTGATTCTTTTGGATCCAGTGACGGTAAGCACACCAGTGGATAAAGGGATTTTTAAGATTTATTATTAGCTCAAGCAAACAGATTTAAAAGCATAACATACCAAGCAAAATGATACTCAAATTTCTTACAGCCTGTTAGCAGTTCTGAATATGTCTTCAAGAGGCCAAATTCCACAGTACCCAATGCTAGGGACTCTGCCAAAGCTCCCAACAGCAAAGCTCGCAAGGTTTTTACCAAAACCTGACACCACAACTTCGTGGCTGTGGTGATCAGACTGCAGGACCGGACCTTGACTGTGTGGCACATGCCTCTGGGATGGGAATTAAAAGATGGAGGCTTTCACAGAAAGAAAAACTCTGCAGCTGGGCGATGATTTCCCTCTCCTTCTCCTTTATTAAGAGTAAAAACAAACGAACAGGTTAGCTCAGAATGAGTTCTAAACTTCTAGACCTTTTCTTAATGTGAAGGATAAACCAAAATACGTTAACCAACTCCTTGAAATAACAGTGGTGTTCTGCATTGCGACTATATCTTCCCATCTGGTGCCAGATTGGATCAGATTCCTTAAAGTAAAGATGCAGAGCTAGCAAAGTTCTCCCTGTTCCTTAGTTCTTGACCAAGCATCCCCTGAAGCGCCTGGGGTCAGGACCAGAAGGGGAACGGGATATTCGGGAGCATGGATTTTTCCGTTGGATGGACTGGGAGAAACTGGAACAGCTGGAAATTGCTCCGCCTTTCACACCTAGGCCCGTGAGTAGTTGTTGGTTGTCACCAATTATCCCCCCGAGTAGAGTTTATATTATTCTGCTATCTGCCATGTTTTTAGAATAGAAAACTAAGAGAGGAATCACAAAGGAAGGTTATACAGGCAGTCCTCAACTTACAACCACAAGTGGGGCTCAGAATTTCCATGGCTATGTAAGGCAGTCGTCAAGTGAGTTACACCTGATTTTATGACCTTTTTTGCCACAGTTGTTAAGTGAATCACGAGGTTGTGAAACAAATCTACCCTTTCTCATTGATTTTGCTTGTCGGAAGCTGACTGGGAAGGTTGCAAATGGCAATTGTATTTGCAAAATATAAATACTGTACATGTCAGATGCCAAACAGTCAAATTTTGATCACATGATCGTGGGGATACTTCAGCGATTGTAAGTCACTTTTTTCAGTGCCGTTTTAACTTTGAACATTTGCTAAACAAATGCTTGTAAGTCGAGGACTATCTATATGAGTTCATATAGTTCTGGACGAAGAACTCTTTGCAGAAGCTTGTTTGTTTTTTCCTTCCTCAAAATCTATAAGTATCACTAGGTAGTCTAAGCCTTAGCTAGTAACAAGGAAAGAGATGGTTGTATTGACTGAAAAAATAACATTTTTCTTATCAACTTCTTCCCTCAATATCTCTTCCGTCCTTTTCTTTTTCTCTTTCTACATCTGCTCTAGTGTGGTCGCAGCGGTGAAAACTTTGACAAGTTCTTTACACGGGCACCACCAGCGCTGACACCCCCAGACCAGCTGGTTCTAGCCAGCCTTGATCAGAGTGAATTCCAAGGATTTACCTACATCAACCCTGACTTCGTGCATCCATCCACCCTGCGGCAGGGAAGCCTCTCCCCAACTGGCATGCCTCTCTCCCCAACTGGAATGCCTCTCTCCCCAGCGGCAATGATCCCTTCTCCTACTTCTTTAGTGTGAGAATGATCCATAACCACCCGACTTCCCCAACACCTTGGCTGTTGGACTCTGCTCCTGAGAGCATGAGTCCAAGTTGAAACCCAATCCCAACTGTGATTCCCCAGAAATATTTTGTTAATTGCATTCTCTGGTGTGTCGCTTCCCTCCTTCCTTCCCCCCCCCCGCTTAGGTGCAATCAAACTGGTGAGGTTAAGAATGAGAAAGTGTGCGCGTGCATGTGGAGAGAGAGGGAGGGAGAGAGAGAGAGAAAGAGGGAGAGAGAGAGAAAGAGGGAGAAAGGGAGAGAGAAATATTCAGACCAGAATTCCGCAACCTTTCTGGCTTTGTGGACTGGTGGGGTGGGGGAAGGGGATGTTTCTGGGAGAGGGGGGGCAAGCACATGCTCACCCACTGCCTGGGCAAGTGGGGATGCGCTGCGCTCTCATGCCTCTTCTGCGGTCCGGTTCCAAACGGCTCCAGGGCCAGTAGTAGACTGTAGCCCAAGCATTGGGGACCTCTGACTCAGAAGCATGTACACACCCACAGACTATATAGATAGATAGGTAAATAAATATAGATATATAGCTACATTAAGGGAAAGAAAGTTTAAGAGCCTAGATAAGAGAGAAATTCCTCTTGTTGCAATCAACCTTTGGCGGGTCCTGAAATTTGATCAAGATTGTCCTCTCACATTATCAGACTACCGATGCAAGGAATTTTGTAAAAATACCTTCTGCCTTGTAATTTTTTCACCGGAATTCAGCTTCTCTGTGTCTTTTGTGATGGTCCTTCAAATGATGCAGGTTGGGTACCATGATTTGACTAAAAAATGGCGAATGAAAGAGTAAAAGACTGGTTCCAATAAAGTGGCCCTAATTTCCCCCAGGTAGTGAGGATACCGGACGACTCATTTGATTAGAAATGGTTAAACCATGGATTACCTAGCTAATTTTATGTCATACATATTTTGTGTAAAAATAACTGGCCAAAGGGTAACGGCTGTATTTTGTGAGAGGGGTATCATGAAATTTAACTCGGAGTTATCCAGGTTATATCTTCTGCTCTTATTTCAGGACTATAAAATGGCTGCCAAGCTTTAGAAAATATCCCGATCGATAATGCAGTAAAACGACAGCTATATAGTAAAATGTAGTTGTGCAATGAAAATGGAGACCTAAATATGAAGTGCACACTGAATCACTTAACTCTTGCAGTGGGATTCAAAATTTCCTACTACCGGTTCTGTGGGCGTGGCTTGGTGGGCGTGACAGGGGAAGGATACTATAAAATCTCCAGTCGGAGGGCTCTATTTGCCAGTTCTCCGAACTACTCAAAATTTCTGCTACTGGTTTTCCAGAACTGGTCAGAACCTGCTGAATACCACCTCTGGGCATGGCAGGGGAAGGATACTGTAAAATCTCCATTCCCTCCCCACTCCTGGGGGAAGGTTACTGCAAAATTCCCATTCCCTCCCCACCCCACTAACCTGCTTTCCAGCTCTGTTCTCCTGTGCAGGTCAACAAAAGAAGACCCAGCCGATCAGCTGGGACTTGGGAGGCAGATGGGGGCGGGGCCAGTCAGAGGTGGTATTTTCCGGTTCTCCAAACTACTCAAAATTTCCGCTACCGGTTCTCCAGAAGTGCTCAGAACCTGCTCAATACCCCCTCTGCTTAACTCTGCCTGAGAGTTGGGCTCCAGGAGGGGAATGCTGTGGCATGGATTTATTAAATTAGAGAACTCCATATTTAAAGAACTACCGTAAAGCAGGATATGTAATGAATGGAGAAAGAGCAATCTCAGAATGCTACATTGATATAGAAAGTGTTGGGGGAAGATAACTTACTCTTTAGTTGCTACTATTTTAGTGTATAGAGGAGATATTTCTTCATAGGCTTAAAACATTTGAGTCTCCTACACTTCTCCTTCGAAACTGTAGTTCCAGAAGTACCAATTTTAGCACATCTGGGGCAGTGGTGGGATTCAAATTTTTTTACTACTGGTTCTGTGGTGTGGCTTGGTGGGTATGGCTTGGTGGGCGTGGTAGGGGAAAGATACTGTAAAATCTCCATTCCCTCCCCACTCCTAGGGAAAGGTTACTGCCAAATCCCCATTCTCTCCCCACCTCACTAACCCTCTTTCCAGCTCCGTTCTCCTGTGCAGGGCAACAAAAGAAGACCCAGGTGATCAGCTGGGACTCGGGAGGCAGAGAATAGATGGGGGGCGGGGCCAGTCAGAGGTGGTATTTGCCGGTTCTCTGAACTACTCAAAATTTCTGCTACCAGTTCCCCAGAACTGGTCAGAACCTGCTGAATAACCACCTCTGATCTGAAGGATGCCAAGCTGGGAAACCCTATCTCAAAGGATATCTAGTTTACATTAAATGATTCTGAGTTACTCTCTTGAAATGCCTTTTAAATTGGGAAGCTATCAAGAAAGAACGACTGCCTTCTCTCTCCATTAATTAGTGGTTCAAACAATTTCTGATATTCATTTCAATTAATATCCATTTGCAAATTGTAATCTTCAGCTTCACCTCCATGGTGCTTTTCCTAGTCTTATCTGCTACAGTGAAATATTATAATATTTGATGTGTTTGTCTTCTTAAAACCTTGATTACTTGCACCTCACACGTTGCTAGTAAACTTTCCTTCCCAAAATCTTGTGAAAACCTCACCAGTCCTGCTTCTCCTTCCTAGGCATCGCATTAGTGTTTCCCAACCTTGGCAGGCTAGGGGATTCTGGAAGTTGAAGTCTGTACATCTTAAAATTGCCATAGTTGAGAAATGCTGCATCGCATCGTATGTGGCACAACCTCCTGGCCCTTAATTTCCAACATTAACACCTCCCTCTAACATGGCTTCCCATCACCAACACCACAGCTGTAAATAAAACCTTGAAAGAGAGCAATGATGATGGCAAATATGGTATTAGACTTTGGGTCAAATATGTGTCTTCTTCCACAGAACAGCATGTTGAGATGGAAACTTTGTCTTTTCTTTCATGCATTAACTATTATATAATGAACTGATTTATATGTACATAATGAATATGTGTACCTTCCATGTTTCCATCTTTCTAAAGGGACACCCATCTCTTCCAAGCTACACCTGACTGTCTTTACAGCTTTAAAACTGAGGTATGGTAAACTGAGATCTCACTCTCTATTCTGAGAGCATCACTAATGATTGGAATGTAAACATCCCCTCGTGATTCTTCCCAATTATTTTTTTGGTGCAAGAAAAACAACAACATCCTGGTATTTATTTAGCTGATGATAGAACTCTACTGGAAACTAAAATTTTCCTGCTGTGGCCTGTGTCAGCTACTGAATTGTCATGAGACGGCACATTGAAAGTGCAATGTTTATTCACACTCTTGAAGTGTTTACTCATACGAATTTGTGCTACAGATGAAAGATAACTGAATTTAATTGGCAGGTGGGGTGAGGTCAAAAAATGACTTATTCTGCTGACAGCAGGACATATTTAGGAAAGAGGAAATATTAACATGTTAATTCTTATACCCTAGAAGCAACTTCTTGCAGTTTTTTCCTCTCCTTTATATTAGTTGAAACCCATCACTTTATAACAACGTTTTGTACACTGGCCTACAATTTTGTGCCCCCTTCATTTTCCTCATCACTGATTGAGGAAAAATATAAACCAATACAACTGAAGCTTGGTACACTTTCATGTTCTCCCTCTCTGGCAGATAGAACATTTTAAAAATGTCATAGAATTCCACTATATTGAGCTAGTTACTGGAAGGGAGAATTCCCAAGCTTTATATAGTACCAGATGTTGAGATGGAAACGTTGTCTTCTCTTTCATGCATTAACTATTATATAATGAATTGATTTATATGTACATAATGAATATGTGGTTGTAGAATCCAGAGTTCTGGGTGTATGAGCAGTGAGCAAGATCTAGAGGGGTAGGGGAACTATAGCCCGTTTATGACCTGTGGACTTCAACTGGTTGGCTCAGTTGCTGGCTCAGGAATTCTGGGAGTCGAAGTCCACAGGTCATAAAGGGGCCATAGTCCCCCACCCCTGCTCTAGAGGGTGCCAATTTGTTCTTTTCCAAATATTTCTAGAGGTTTTCTTCCTTCAACCCTTACAATGCATAAGTCTTCCATCAGTTTCCTGCCTCGTTTTTCCCCCACTCTGCTAATTATCTTGCCTTTCCCCATCACCGCCAACACCAATTTGGGGATAATCAGACACCCCATGACTCCTACCTTCTCTTTGGCTTGTGATTCTCTGTAGCCAATATCATAATCGAATGGACTCACCTATGCATTTCAACATAAAAGATATTTATCCAATCCTCAGTTTGTGTTTGTTTTTCTGTCCATGTTTCGGGTGACAAGACTACAGATTTTGGGGGGGTGGCTGATAATGGGATTCCTGATGTGCATTTTGGAACATGCTTCCTAGATGGAAAAATCCCTTAAATCCCGAGAACTTTATTTTCATGCAATGGCTTCAACTGAATAATTTTAGATTGTAGACCTAAAGGTCCTGCAGGAATTCTGCCCTTTTGATGGCAACAGCAATTTTTCCTGGCTGCTAATGCTGGCAGTAGAACATGTAAGCATACACACAGGGCATTTCTACAGCTGCCTCTGCACCGTTCTCTAATCATTGCCTCGGCTCTGGGATGCCATAATGTCCCTGCTTAGCAGCTGAGCCCATTTATTTCCAGCTCAGCAGTCATGCCTCCAAATTCACAGTGAGTTTAGTTTTCCAGCTGAAACGTTAGAGCTCTGCAGAGCTGGTGGGTGGGTGGATTTTTTTTTTTTTAATTGGCAGGAGCTCTGAGGAAAGAATGAGGCTGTAGCAGCTCTCCCTGACTATGGCAGTGGCTTTTGACAAGCGAGCACATTGTTTATGCAAAGGGGCATTGGCTGGGTAGTTTTTGTTGTCATTACTATTTTACTCCACTGGTCAGCTGGAAGAAGCTGGTTGCCTTACTGCAATGCTTTTCAAACATGGCAACCTTAAGGCCCAAACTGTATGCTGGCTGGGGAATTCTGGGAGTTGAGGTATACCCAATGTTGTCTTACAAGTAATCCTCAACTTACAACCACAATTAAGCCCAAAGTTTATATTGCTAAGTGAAAGTTGTTAAGTGAGTTTTGCTCCATTTCACGACTTCTTGCCACAGTGGTTAAGCGAGTTACTAACTGCAGTTGTTAGTAACACCGTTGTTAAGTGAATCGGGATCCCCCATTGACTGTGCTTGTCAGAAGGTTACAAAAGGGGACTCGATGACCCCGGGATACTGCAACTGTC